GGGAGGGACACCGTGGGGCAGGGGTGCACCGTGGGGTAGAGGGGGCACCGTGGGGTGGGGGGACACCATGTCGGGGGGGCACTGTGGGGTGGGGGGACACTGTGGGGCAGGGGGGGCACCACGGGCCGCTCTCACGCCCGTCCCGTGCAGAGCATCACGCGAGCGCCCACCACGGCAAGCACCTCATCGAGGACTTGATCATCGAGTCCTCCAAGTTCCCGGCGGCTCAGCCCCCGGACCCCAACCAGCCGGCCAAGATCGAGACCGACTACTGGCCCTGCCCGCCCTCCTTGGCCGTCGTGGGTAGGTGGGGGGCGGCGGGGCTGGGCGAGGGGGTGCCCGCCCGGCCTCACGCCCCCTCTCTCCTCCAGAGACCGAGTGGAGGAGGCGGATGGCGTCCAAGCGGGGCGAGGAGGAGGAGGAGGATCTCACCGAGGAGATGAAGAACCTGCGGGAGCTGCAGCGGCAGGAGCTGAGCAAGGTGCGGGCAGAGCCGGCGGGCTGGGCGCCCCGGGGGCGCTGGGGACATGGTGACATTGACCGCTCCTCCGCCCCCAGGTCACCTCCAACCTCGGGAAGCTCATCCTGAAGGAGGAGATGGAGAAATCACTCCCGATCCGCCGGAAAACCCGCTCGCTGCCGGACCGGACGCCCTTCCACACGTGTATGTGGGGTGGGCGCAGGTGCCTGTGTGGCTCTCGCGGGCCCTGCTGGAGGTGCCAACGTCACCCAGCTTGTCCCCCTGTCCTACTGGATCATGCCCTGGGGTCCCCCTGGAGCATCCCCRGCTCCCATCCCGCGCTGACGGCCTCCGCCTTCTCTTGCAGCTCTGCACATGGGGAGCTACAAGAGCTCCTCGCTGCCCGCCTCCGGCAGGAGCACGCTCACCCGGGTAGGTGGCCCCGCGCGGGGACACGGTGGCCACGGCCGCGTGCCGGCCAGGCCCTGCTCGGACCGTGTCCAGCGTCCTCCCGTCTCGCCCGCAGCTCCAGTCGGCCGAGTTCGGCTCTGCGGGCAGCGAGAAGGGCAGCCCAGGTGAGCACCCTGTCCCCAGGGTGGGGGACGCGTGGGGACGCGTGGGGACAGGGCTCCCTTTTTCTCAACGCGCTCCTTTCTCTCCAGGCTTGCAGGTGAGTGCTTGCCAGGCTGCCCCCGGCGGGACCCGGCGCCGCGGTGACGTACGCCGGGAGCAGGGGGGGCGAAGTGGGGGGACACCGAGGAGGCGGGGGGCACCTCGTGCCCGTCGCCGTGGTGGCATTTGGGGCGGGAGCGGGTGTCCCGTGGCAGGGTGACGCCGTTTTGCCCCCGCAGAACGGCCAGCGCGGGCGCATGGACAGAGGCAACTCCCTGCCCAGCATGTTGGAGCAGAAGGTGAGAGGGGCCAGGGGCTCGTGGGGGACAAGGCGGGGACAGAGGAAGGATGTGGCCTCTCTGCCCCCGTGCCCCCTCGTGCAGATCTACCCCTATGAAATGCTCATGGTGACGAACAGAGGCCGCGTGAAGCTGCCGCCCGGCGTGGACAGGACCAGGCTGGAGGTGGGCGCTGCGACGGGCGCCGCGGTGGGTGAGGGCCGAGGCGGGTGGGGGGTCCCGATGTAACGGTGCCCGTGTGTGTCCCACCACCGCCCCGCAGCGCCACCTCTCCCCCGAGGACTTCCTGCGCGTCTTCGAGATGCCCCCCGAGGAGTTCAGCAAGCTGGCGCTGTGGAAGCGCAACGAGCTCAAGAAGAAAGCCTTCCTCTTCTGAGCGCCCCGCGGGCGCCGCCGGATTTACCCGGGGACCCCAGCCCTCCCCTGCGCCCCGGCCCCCTCCCTGCGCCCCGGTGCCTTCCCCGGCTGCCCCGCTCCCGCTCAGCATCCCGCCGGCAGCAGCCTTGGCCYGGGCAGGAGGAGAGGTCCCCGACCTGCCCCCGCGCCCGGCCCCGCTTCCTGCCTGCGGGGTCCCCCCCAAACACGCGCCTGCCTCTGTCCTGGGTGCCCCCCGCGCCGCAGGGCCGCGGGGAGAACCCCGAGGCCGCTGAGGGGCTCCCCTCTGCGTCCCGCCTTGCTCCCCACCCGCCCCGTTCCCGGTGCCGGCTCCCGCGGCGAGGACCACCCTGACTTGGACACTGCCACAACCCGCGCGGCGCAGGGGCACCCCGAGAGCGGCGCTGACGCCTTGGCGGGGCCGGAGCAGCCTCGGCGCAGCGGGCACGCGGCAGAGCCAGGGCTCGTGCAGAGCAGCTCCAGGGCTCGCCAGGATTTTCCCCGGCTGCAAACGCTCGCCCAGCACCCGGCATCAGGGCGGCGGGTGGAAAAGCGCAGGGCGCAAAGGGCGGCGCGAGGGCTGGATGTGGGGGCCGCAGCCCCGGCGTGGGCAGCACCTCCCTCTCCCGTCCGCTCTCTGGGCACAAGTTTGGGGCAGAGCCCTCTCTGCCCCCCGCACTCCCTGGCCCCCCCACTCCCCGGGTTCTGTTTCCAGCCGCTCTCCAGCCGCTAAACCTTGTTGGGATGTAAAGAATGTAATTTATCGGGAAATCACTGGCCCATTCTTGCCTTTCACTGCTACGTCTCCGAACGACATATCTATAAATATATATATAAATATGGGTTGTTTTCTGATTTGAATACAGTGATTCACATTCTCTTTCTTTTTTGTTAAGTTTTATTTGCTGGTGTCAGAGAATTCCGTGTAAGAGTGATTTTTGCTTATAATTAAAGGTGAAATGGCTTTACCCGCCCGGCTCGCCGCGCTTTGCTTTGCCGGGGAAACCGAGGCACGGCCGCGCCAGGGGCCCAGGCGTCCGAGCGGGCCGTGCCCTGTAGATGGCGGTGGTGCTGCAGGAGGAGGAGGAGGAGGATGCGGAGCCTTCCCCGCCCTCCTTCCTCGCCGTGGGGCTGCGCTGGGGGCCCGCGGGGCGGGTCGGGCGGCGCCGGGCCGGGTCGGGCCGGGTCCGGCACCATGTGAGCGGCCCCGCACCATGGCCCGGCAGAGAGGTAGCAGGGCCGGGGACAAAGGGGACTGGGAAGGCGACAGAGGGTGACAGGGTGAGAGCTAAGGGCGGCAGCGGGTGCAAGCGGGGCGCAGGGACCCGTGCGCAAGGGGCGCAGCTGGGTGTGCAGGAGGGAAAAGAGAGGGTGCAGTGGGGGGGCGAGAGGGGGCAAAAGGCTGAAAACGGGGCGGGGGTGAAGGCAAAAGGTGCCTGGCGGGAGTGCGAGTGGACAAGTCAGCGCGGACACAGGAGAGGGTGCGAGGAGCCATAGGGGATGCCTGGGAAGGGGGAATATGTGTAAGAGCAAGGCGTGGGGCCGGGGGCACTGGGACACGTGAGGGTGCAAAGGGGGACGGGGTGGCAGGGGGATGCGGGAGCGGACTGGCGAGGCGGCCGGGAACGCGGTGCGGAGTGCRGGGCAGCGGGCAGGGCTGCCCCCCAGCTGGCTCTGGAGCCCCGTGCGGTGCCCTGGCCCCGGCACACGCTGGGTGCTCGCTGCCCAGAGCAGGGACCCTGCTCTCTGCTGCGGCCTCACGTCGAGCCGCCCGCTCCGAGGCACCGGGCGCTTGGCGAGCGAGCCCTGGAGCACGCGGGGCGCTGCGGCGGCCAGCGCTGCACAGCCGTTCACGGGAGGCACCGGGGCACCCGCTCCAGTGCACGGGGACGGTGCCCTGCGGGACAGGGGTTTTGCTCGGAGATGCGCACGTGTGCGCGCGCTTGAGCAGTGTTTTCCTTCCCCGGCTGCCTCTCCCCACGGAGATGCAGGCAGCTGGTTTTAATCTCCGCTGTGCTTCTTTGGCCCCGGCAGCGGTGGCCAGCGAGATGAGCTAGGGAGCCGCGGTGGCGGCACCGCCTGGCATGGGCCCCCCGGCAGCCTCGGTGCCCCGGCCATGGGTGCCGGTGCTGGCGGGTGCCAGGGTGGGGAGCACAGGAAGGTCAGGAGAGCAGGATGCGCATGGAGGACCGGGGGGAGCGCGTGGCCGGAGATGTCATTGCCGAGGAATTCGGCCTGGGCGGAGGAGAGGAGGGAGGGAGGGGAGAGGAGAGGAAGCGCCAGGCACCCCTGGCACAGGGGGCTGCTCCTGGCCCCTCCAACCTCACGCGGAGCCCTCGGCTCCTCTCCTGCCACCCGCTGACCCATGCTCTCCCCCCAGCCTCCCAGGATGCCCCCAGAGTGAGAACCCCCTTCCCTGTCCGGTTTCCAGGGAAATGCAGATGTTTGGGCCCAGCTCTGACATTGCTCTGCCTTGCAGCCCTGCCAGATGTTTGCGCTCCCCCGGGTCGGGACATGTTTGCGCTCCCCGGCCAGCACGGCCCGGCCTTCTGCGAGCTGTCCCCGTGAGCGCCAGCTTCTCCTGCGTCCCTTGATCCCGCGTGGCCCCACCTCGGGATCGGGTTGGGATCCTGCCTGACCTCGCCGTGGCCCTCGGCTTCCCTGGGCTCTGCTTTGCCCCCACGGAGGCTGGGCAGGGCTTTGCGGGGGCATCGCGCCGGATGCGGGATGCGGAGGGAGCGTCGGGGCTGCTCGGGGCTGCAGCCTGGCACCTTTCGGCTCCCAAGGGCTGCGTCCACATCCCCTGCAGACCTGGACAAGCTGCTCGCGGACCTGCACTCCTTCCTGCTCCTCCTGGACCGGGAGAAGCTGAGCGCCGCGGCGCAGGCCAGGAAGCGCTCGGTGGCTGAGCTGCTGCGGCGCCTGCAGAGCCCTCCGGGTGAGCGCRCGGCGGGCGCCGCGACGGGCAGCGCGGGGCCGCGGGCTCCGAGCGCGCCGCGAGCTCTGCGCGCGCCACGGGCCGTGACGCCGCGGTGCCCTGCAGGAGAGGATGCCGAGTACATGATCATGCGCTCCCCGGCCACCAGCGGCGAGCRGCCCTGCCCTGGTGAGTGGCAGAGTCAAGGGCTCTCGCCAGGGGTGCTCGTTTCTGCCCCTAACCCCGCTGCCCGCCCAGGCGCGGGGATGCCGGATGCGCCCAGAGGGAGAGCGCGCACGAGCTCGCCTGGCAGGGTAAGGGAGCGCAGTGTGGGGCAGGGACAGGCAGGAGCCGGGCTGCCCGCGGGGACGCATCCCACAGGATCCCGCCCGCGGAGCATCCCTTCCTCACGCAGAGCCCGCCGGGCGCTGACTCCTACGAGGATGCGGAGCCTGCAGAGCCCGGGGCACGCGCCAAGGCCGGGGAGCACCGCAGGGACAGCGAGAGCAGCCACTACGAGTCCTATGGCGAGGAGGAGGAGGAGGAGGAGGAGGAAGAGGAGGAGGAGGAGCGCGTGAAGGACCGCGCGCACTACCTGCGGCGGCCACCGGCCGCTGGCACCGCGGCGCCTGGCCACCCCGAGCCGCAGCTCTGCGCCTTCCTCTGGAGGAAGCGCTGGCTGGGCCGCTGGGTGAAGCAGCTCTTCATCATCAGGGAGCACGTGCTGCTGGTGAGAGCCCCGCGCGCGGGCACGGCGCAGCGCCCGCTGCCGCGCACGGCGCTGCCGCCCCGCAGCTCAGCGCCCGCGGCACCCACAGTGCTTCAGGTGCGCCAAGGACCTGCAGCCGCTGCTGCGGCTGGAGCTGCGCGGCTGCCGCGTTGCCTACAGGGCCAAGCCCGGCAAAGAGGTGCAGCACGAGCTGAAGGTGACGGCGGCGGCCGGCGCGGCGCTCGTCATCGGCTTCACGAGCCGGCAGCACGCCGAGGACTGGCGGAAGGTTTGGAGGTGTCGGAGCCCGGCGGAGCGCGGCGCACRGAGCCCGCGGGCGCCGGGGCCGCGACGCTGCCTCTCCGCCGGCAGGTGATCCAGGAGGTGGGCAGCGCGTCCTGCGTCCAGCGCCCAGCACTGCGCTTGGCACCGTCCCCGTGCCGCCCGCCACGGAGCAGCCCGCGCGGAGCCGATGCCGGTGGTGGCCGCGGGGACGGCGGTGGCACCGCGGTGTGCCGGCTCAGCAGGCGCTGGCGGTGGCTGTGGCGYGTGGTGCAGCGCAGAGCCCTGCGCACGTCCTCCGTGCCCCGCGCCGCCCGCCGCCCCACGTGCCACCTAGTGCCTGCAGGACGTGATGGGAGCCCGGGGACTGGCACCCGGCAGCACCACCGCGGTGCCCACGAGCTCGCCGCGCTGGAGGCAAGAGACCACCCTGCTGGCTTGCAACGGTCCCCACATGCCCCTCGGAGCTCCGGGTGCCCCGGACAGAGCCACTCCGATGAGGAGAGGTGCATGCGGCCGAAGATGCCATGGGCAACGGGAGCCACGGAGGCCACCAGCGATGGCACCGCCACAGGCAGCACAGTGCAGGGTGACATGGGGTAAGGGACGCTGCAGGCCGGGTGCTGTYGGGGCACCCATGGCACCCACAGGTCCCCTTGGCTCTCGCTTACAGGGGCCTCCTGCTGCGCCACCTGCCCATGCCCAACGCCTACATGGATGAGCCCTCGGGGCAGCCCCACGGCCACCAGCCCGCCCGCCCTAATGCCCAGCGGCTGCAGCAGCTGGTAACGCGGCTGGCAGCGCGTGCCGYGCGTGCCGCTTGCTCCGGCCGCTCGCCCACAGGCTGCTCTCCGGCCTCCCTTGGCAGCAGCACAGCCTAGACCATGCAGAGCCCCCCAAACCGCGCAGGAGACCCCTGTCCGCTGTGCCCGCCGGTGCCAGCGCCCCAGCCAGGCCCCCGCCGCCGCACGCGGGTGAGCAGGAGCCGGTGCTGTTGGCGCCGCGTCCCCTCCGTGCTCCCCTGCATCCCTGCCGAGCGGCGCCCGCGCCGGGCTCCGTGCCCCGCCAGGCCACGGTGCCAGCGGTGCCCGTGCTCTGCAGCCCGCACTGCTCCTCGCGCGCAGCCGCCGGAGCAGAGCCCTGCCCTCCAGCACAGGGATTTCTTCCACTCGCAGCACACGCTGACGCTCCCCGGGAGCGCCGCACCTCGGGACCGCTTGGGTTTCCTCACGGGTAGGGGTCGGCGCGGGCGGGTGCTGGCGCTGGCACCGCGGTGCCCCTCGCCGGCCCACGCAGGCTCCCCGCCGCCCTGGCAGGGAAAAGAGCCGTCCCCAAGCTGGAGGGCAAGGGGGGCCGGCCGGAGCGCCCCAAGGGCCGCCCGAGGGCYGGCTCCGAGCTCAACCTACTGGCCCTGGGCAAGTCACTCAAGGGCCACCTGGCCGCCAGCGCCGAGGTAGGAGAGCCGCGGGTTGGGGAGCAGAGCCGTGCCCGGCCTTTTGCAGGCTGGGAAGCTGGATGGGCGAACGGGGGGGTCTCTTCCCGTTGCCTGTGGGGGTCGGGCACGGCGGGCACGGCCCTCTCGCTTCTCCCCGCTCTGCTTCCCCTGGCAGGGCGCTTTCCTGACGCCGCTGCTCAAGCGCACGGCCTCGGCCAAGAGCACGCCCAAGCAAGCACCCACCATCGACAGCATCACGGAGGGCCGGGTGCTGCARAGGAGGAAGGTGCGGCAGTGGGCATGGGGAAAAGGGGTACGAGGGCAGAGCTAAAGGGCCTGGCAGCATCGTGAGACCCCCCTGGGGCAGCCCTGAATCCATGGATTTGCAGGAGTGGGAGATGAAGTCTGGCCCATGAGCAGCACCCCAGCGCCTGAGGAGAATCAGCCCTGCCGGGCCTGGGCATCTCTCCGTACAGCGTTGGTGCCACGCGTGGATCGTGCGGAACCAACATGTTTTTTTAACCATGCCTATCCACTATAACTCCATGTATCTATTTTTATATACGTTATATAGATATCTGCCTATAAAATTCCTAGCTGTGGGTTTGCAGTTTCTCAGCCGTGGTGCCCAATCCCTCGGTGCAACCTCATCTGCTGCCAGCTCCGCTCCTGCCAAAATGGGTGCCCAGGTCCCCATGTCCCAGAAGGAGCTGTGCAGGGGGGTCCCTATGTCCCGGTGCAGGCTGTGCATAGGGGTCCCCCGTCCCTG